CTGACGGGGGCGCCGCCACAGGAAGTGGAGCCTCGGCCGGAGCGAAACCCGGGGAGGCGGGCGGAGCGGGGATCATGGAGCTCGCCGACATCCAGCAGATCCTCAAAGTGGCGAGCGCAGCGCCCAATCAGATGGGACTGACCCTTCCTCCTCTGGCTAAAGCTCCAGGATTTGCTGGAGGTCAAGGTGGGTGTGGCCTGGACCGGCGTGTGTCTGTGTTTGTAGATGCATTGACTCTGGGGGGGTGGGACTGTGTTTGGTCTGAAGGTCCAGACGCCCCCTGGTGGTGAACTTTAACCCTGACTCTGTTTTCTCCTGCAGGTCTGGTTCAGGGTCAGAAGGCCATGCCTCCATTAAAGCCCAAACCTCCCATCACGCCACGCTCCAGCCTTACCGCCACCACCCCTCCGCCCCTCCAGAGCTCCCAGCAGGCCTCACTGGGCTGCATCAGCCCCAGCCTGCCCCCTCCCACCCCCACCCTCTTTAAAACCCCCCCCTCCTCCTCAGCCGGGAACACGGGGCAGCAGGACGCCGAGAACATGGGTGACGCCCACACGCTGCTCTCCGACTCCCCGCCTGCCGCTACCACAGCTGTACATGAGGAGGCGGGGCCTGGTGGGAGGAAACCAGCGCCCAAAGCGGGTCACAACACCGTGGCCGGTTCTGCTAAAGGCTCGTTCCCGTGTCGATTCTGCGACCAGGTCTTCCCCTTCTCCGGCGTCCTGCAGGCTCACATGCGCTTCCACCTCGGTATCCTCCCTCACCAGTGCAACATCTGCGACTACGTGGCGCCAGACAAAGCCACGCTGATCAGACACCTGCGGACACACAGCGGCGAGCGGCCGTACGTCTGCCGAGTCTGTCACTACCCGTTTACCGTCAAAGCCAACTGTGAGCGCCACCTCAGGAAGAAACACGCCAAGACCTCCAGGAAGGACATTGAGAAGAACATCAAGTACGTCCCCAACACCACCGCCACCAATATCGCCCCAGCTATCACCGTGGGAACAACCACCACAACCACGGACATGGAGACGGGCAGTGCCGGGACAGAGACCACCTGCAGGTTCTGTGGTGAGGACCTGAAGAGCTACCGGGCGCTCCAGATCCACCTGCGCACGCACAATGGCTGCCAGAGGAAGCCGTTTGAATGCCGGCGCTGTGGCGCCGCCTTCCTCGCCAAACGGAACTGCATCCACCATCTGCTGAAACAACACCCTGAGGTGCAGGAGAGAGAGATCGAGGAGCACATCGCCACTCTCCTCCCCGCCGCTCAGTCAGTCTCGACCGTCACTCCGGTGCGAGCCGCTCCTGTGACGCAGGTGTCACTGAACGGGATCGGCCCGCCCACGGTCCAGGCGCTGCAGGCGGTGAAGGTGGAGGACGTGGTCTATCCTGCTGAGCTGGACCAACCACTGGACTTCTCTGCCAAAGGTCGCAGCAGCCAGGCCGGGTCACCTGGGGTCAAACTGGAGAGCGTCTCCCCCAGCTTCGACTGCTCCGCCCTCGACCAGCCCATCGACCTGTCCATCCCTAGCAAGAGGCAGAGGAGGGAGGTGGTGGGCGGAGAGAGGGGCGGGGTCAAGATGGAGCAGAGCGTCAATGTGGAGCAGCTGCCAAAGGAGGAGAAAACGGCGAGCTCCCTGCCTCCCCTCCACCCTCACCCTCAGCTCGGCTGCTACCAACAACCCCCCGGATCAACCCCGCCCCCCACCACCATCCCCAATATCAACAACTCCACCCGTGCTCAGCGCCTCAAACCCCTCCTCCCCAAACCGGCCTCCTCCACCGCCTCCCCCCCCTCATCAGCTAGTAAGGACCTCCCTCCTCTGGCGTCCATCGCTCAGATCATCCACTCGGTGTCCGGAGCTCAAGACCTGCTGAAGAGGGACGGCGGGGGGGAGGGCAAACCTCAGGTGGGAGTCTCCGCCTCTCAGGGTGAGTCTGCTGCAGCTGCACCTGGACCATCTGCTGCTCCTGAGGTCCAGAGTGAGGACGCCGCTGACGGATCCAACAGGTACGTGAAACTGAGGAACGCTGACTCAGCACCGTTCCTGTAGCGCCGCCGTCAGGAACCGTTCCTCACCGTCTCCTCTCTGTCCCACAGGAAACGCACCAGGAAAAAGCCCCTCTCTCTGGCGGTGAAGGAGAAAGCTTCTGTGAGTGGGGGGGGCATCGACCTGGAGTCCAGCGGAGAGTTCGCTAGTGTTGAGAAAATGCTCGCCACCACGGACGCCAACAAGTTCAGCACGTACCTGCAGACCGGAGCGGGTGACATGGGAGCGAAGAGAGGTAAGAAACATCTCATGATGTTGGACAGAAGAGCAGGCTGAGAACGGAGACTTCATTTAAGCCCCTCCCCCCTGACAGACCTGGACAGAGCAGGAGGAAGCGAGGACAAGGAGGAGGTGAAGCCCGTGGTCACGGCGCCGGCGGCTGTGGTACCGCAGTCTAAAGGCAAGAAGAACGCCTACTCCAACTCAGTGCAGAAGATGACCTGTCCGTTCTGTCCCCGAGTGTTTCCATGGGCGAGCTCCCTGCAGAGACACATGCTGACACACACAGGTAACACACACACACACACACACACACACAGAGGTAACACACACACACACAGATAACACACACACACACACACACACACACACAGGTAACACACACACACACACACACACAGGTAACACACACACACCGAAACACACACAGGTAACACACACACACACACAAGCACAGGTAACACACACACACACACACACAGGTAACACACACACACACACACACAGGTAACACACACACACACACACACAGGTAACACACACACACACACATACACACACACACACACAGGTAACACACACACACACACAGAGGTAACACACACACACACACACACACACACACACAGGTAACACACACACACACACAGAGGTAACACACACACACACACACACACACACACACAGGTAACACACACACACACACACACACACACACACACAGGTAACACACACACACACACACACACACACAGGTACACACACACACACACACACACACACACACACAGGTAACACACACACACACACACACACACAGGTAACACACACACACACACAGGTAACACACACACACACACACACACACACACACACACACACACATAGGTAATACACACACACACACACAGGTAACACACACACACACACAGGTAACACACACACACACACACACACACACACACACACACAGGTAACACACACACACACACAGGTAACACACACACACACGCACACACACACACACACACACACACAGGTAACACACACACACACACACACACAGGTAACACACACACACACACACACACACACACACACAGGTAACACACACACACACACACACAGGTAACACACTCACACACACACACACACAGGTAACACACACACACACACACACACACACACAGGTAACACACACACTCACACGCACACAGGTAACACACAAACACACACACACACAGGTAACACACACACACACACACAGGTAACACACACACACACACAGGTAACACACACACACACACACACACACAGAGGTAACACACACACACACACACACAGGTAACACACACACACACACACACACACACACACACACACACAGGTAACACACACACACACACACACACACAGGTAACACACACACACACACACACACAGGTAACACACACACACACACACACACACACACACACACACACAGGTAACACACACACACACACACACACACACACACACACACAGGTAACACACACACACACACACACACACACACACACATAGGTAATACACACACACACACACACACACACACACAGGTAACACACACACACACACACACACACAGGTAACACACACACACACACACACACACACACACACACAGGTAACACACACACACACACAGGTAACACACACACACACACACACGCACACACACACACAGGTAACACACACACACACACACACAGGTAACACACACACACACACACACACACACACACAGGTAACACACACACACACACACACAGGTAACACACTCACACACACACACACACACACAGGTAACACACACACACACACACACAGGTAACACACACACACACACGCACACAGGTAACACACACACACACACACACACACACACACACACAGGTAACACACACACACACACACAGGTAACACACACACACACACACACACACACACACACAGATAACACACACACAGCTAACACACACACACACACACACACACAGATAACACACACACACACACACACACACACACACACACACAGGTAACACACACACACACACACTGATGTCATGTAATAAAAAGTTACTTCTTTATGTGGCAGCAGTGGAGAAGTGTTCTAGAACACCGAGTTCTAGAATGTTGAGTCCTTTGAAGTCCTTGAAGTCTCTTAAAGAGACAGCGTCTGTAGTCAGTCAGAGACCAGGACAGACGGACTGATCAGGATCTTCACTCTCTCGTCTCTTTAGGCCAAAAACCGTTCCCCTGTCCCAAGTGTGACGCCTTCTTCTCCACCAAATCCAACTGTGAGCGCCACCTGCTGAGGAAACACGGCGTCACAAACCGAACACTGAGACGCAACGGGACCCTCATTAAGAAGGAGGGAGAGGAGGGGTCTCAGGAGAGCGCAGGTCAGAGCAGAGCTGTGGACAGGGGGGCGGGGCTTAGACAGAGTCTGATGTTGTTGTTTAGTGTTGTGTTGTTGTTGTTGTTGTTGTTGTGATGGTGCTGATTTGAATTTGTCGTGTTGTTGTACAGAGAGTCAGTCGGAGACGGAGCAGCTCGCACCTGAAACTAAGACCCCCGGCGCTACCAGCCTCTCCGCAGACACAGGCCCCGCCCCCGACACAGAGAGCCCCGCCCCACCTGAGCAAGAAGGGGAGGGTTCAACACCTGTTAGCCCCACCCACAAAACCAACCAGGGTCAGTATTCTTAACTTCCCGAGTTTTCAAACTCTTTTCATGTTTTTCATCAGAACCACGTTCGGTTCTGATGTCGGAGTTATCGGACCTTCACTGACGCGGGTTTGAGGGTTTCTGAGGTCGGACATCGACGAGGAAGCAGAGAGAGAAAAACTCTAATGTCTGTGTGTGTGTGTGTGTCTGTGTGTGTGTGTGTGTGTGTCTGTGGTGTTTGCAGGTTTCACTCCAGCAGCTGAAGACGACGACGATGACGTCGAACAGCAGGACGATACACTAGAGCAGCCAGAGCAGCAGGAGGCGCCAGAGAGCCGAGCAGCAGCGAGTAAACAGCCTCCAGTGAGCAGCAGCAGCACCAAGGTGAGACCTGAACCTCAGACCAGGTTTAACTCTCAGGACCAGCTGGGTCGGTCCTCTCAGAACCCTGAGAACCTCCTCACAGTGAGGTTGTTCCTCCTCTCTTTAAAAGGAGGAGTACGTTTTTCACCTCCTCTCTTTGCTCCTGCAGGTGGAGAGCGCCGACGACGATGACTGCCACAGCAACAAGAGTTTGGACCTGAACTTCGGCAAGAAGCTCATCGACTTTAAGCTCTCCACGTCGTCGGCCTCAGCTCAGGAGGAGCAGTCTGCGTCCTCCTCCTCAGCCTCCTCTTCCTCTACCTCTGCTCCTCCTGCAGCCGTGGAGAGCCCCGAGAAGGAGAAGAGCTCCTCCCCCTCCTCCAGCCCCGCCGTGAAGCAGCAGCCCGACTACAAACACGTCTGCAGAGTCTGCAAGAAGAGCTTCAGATACGCCACCACCCTCGCTCGCCACGAGAGGGCGCACCTCTCGGAGGACACGCCCACTCCTGCGCCAGCAGAGGAGAACCCGCCCGCAAAAGAGGAGGTGACAGAGAGAGCGACAGAGGAGACGGAGGAGGAGAAAGAGGAGGAGCAGAAGAAAGAGACGGAAGTGGAGGAGGAGGAGGAGGGAGGAGTGAGTCGAGGAGGAGAGAGCGGGGAGTCGGAGGAGGAGGAGAAGGAGAAGGAGGAGAGGAGTGAGGAGGAGGCGTCAGAACCAAAGAGCACAGAGGGAGGACGGGTCGACAAGAGGAAGAAGATCTGCAAGGTCTGCGAGAAGAGGTTCTGGTCTCTGCAGGACCTGACCCGGCACACCCGCTCACACACCGGTACCTACATATCTATACACATACAGATCTATGTTTAGATCTATACTTAATGTTTAGATCTATATTTAATGTCTATATTTCTATATTAACTCAGAATCAAACGTGGTTTTTATCTGTAACTAATCTGATTTTATTGATACAAAAATATTTGAACTTTAATTTTCCTTTAATTTAAATAGTTTTAAAAACTTGAATCATGAACTTTAAACTCTTTGAAATTATTAATTATTCTGATTTTTTTTTTCATTGTTTTTTTTTGTTTATAAAGTTAATTTTCCATCAAGAATCTTTTTTTTGTCGTTCTTTAAATTTTAGATTTTTTTAAACGTTTTCGATTGTTTGTTTTCGCTCAGATTCACACGGGTCTGTTTCTCTCTCTCTGGTTCTAACCTGATCTAAACCCCGCCTCCTCCCTCTCCAGGTGAGCGGCCGTATCAGTGTCAGACCTGCGAGCGGACCTTCACCCTGAAGCACAGCCTCGTTCGGCACCAAAGGATCCACCTGAAGCCCCGCGGCGCCGACGGAGCCTCGGCGGGGAACGATGACGCGGCCAGTGAGGACGGAGACTCCTGCACCCCGACGCCGACCTCCACCTGCCCGCCATCGGAGAACGAAAGCGAGTGTGGGAGCGGCGCCGGAGGGGCCAAAGAGCTGGAGGAGGAGGAGGAGGACGTAATGGAGGAGGAGGAGGACGCCAAGTCGGTGACGGCGGAGGGCGAGGGTCCTGAGAAAAAAACCGAGTCTGCTGAAACTCCGACATCCGCGAAAAACTCTGAACTTTCTGATGAATCGGCGCCACAGCAACCCGACGCCGATGACTCGACTCCCAGACAGCAAGCTACTGAGTCAAAGAGGACGAAGAGCGATGAACCTTCAACCAGCGAGCTGAAGTCCACGCCTGAATCAAACATCTCCAAAGACCCCCCCACCTCCTCCTGCACCTCCTCCACGCCTGAGGAGCCCGCCACGTCGGCCCCCGCCACATCGGCCCCCGCCGACGGCTTCATGGAAGGGCTGCTGGAGATCCACACCAAGCCTCCTCTGGAGCACATCCTGCCCAACGGGGAGCCTCCTCTGGTGGGCGCAGACTGAGGGAAACGCCCTGAACCGTAACCATAGTGCCATAAGACGCAGAGACGCCACGCCATCATGGATGATGGCGATGATGACGATGCAAAAACCAACCCGGAAACGTTTCAGCAGAAAGAGGAAACCGTGTTTTCTTGAAGTGCCTTACTACTAGTCCGACTTCTACGAGATGTTTTTTGCTAAATCTTTATCTGCATTCTTGTTCCGGAGGATGGATCTAATTTTTATAGCTTTTTATGAGACGATGATTTGATATTTTTGTGGGGAATCTATATTTCAGCAATAAAAGAATAAAGTTATGATTTATTATTGTTCTAGAATTTCTTTGAGAATTAATGATCAAGTGAAGAGCCGCAGACAGACGGAGACAGACTCTGAATCTGCCGCCATTCTTCTGTATTTAAATCACAGCTGAGACTGAACAATAAGAATCGGACTGCCGTCAGAACCCGGGTCAGCGATTTAGCCGGGCTGAGGCGGGGAACTCCGACAACGCCGATGTTTTTGGATTAAACTGAATCCTGAGGTGGGGGCTGTCAAAGCAGCTGATTGGCTTGATTTCTCCAGCGGACGATGAGTCACGCTAACGGCGGACGTCGCCTCAGTCGGCGTGACGAAGGAAGCTTTTTGTAACTGGAAAAACGAAGACGGACATCGTCGCTGCGGCTCGCTCACGCAGCGATCCTCGTCTCTCAGCTGGCTCAGAAAACTCACGAAAAAACAGCCGAACTTTTGGAGGCGGCGGCAGACGAGTGCGATCGGACTGTTGAGGGCGGAGAAAGTGTCGATCCGTTTGTTTCCATGTTTGTTTTTTAAACCATCACACTATCGACCCCTTTACTCCTCAGAACCACCCTGTGAGCTCGTTGCTCATCCTCTCATTCATAATCATTCTCAGTTGATTCCATGTGTACAGAAATGAACGTGTGACACGTGATGTCAGAGTATTTCCTGTTTTTTTTTTGGCGTGTGTGGATTATCGTAGCGGTGTAGGACGGGGAATTCTTGTGTTTTTGTGGATTTTTTTTTATTACTGAACAAATCAAATGTCTGTGTTTGACTTCCACCTGTCTCATCATCGCCCCCTGGTGTTCATGTAGGGTTTATTACAGGACCTCGAGCGTGCTAACGCATCCGCCGCTAACACGTGATCCAGGTTCAGTTTACCTCAACCTCCTATGGAAGCAGCTCTGTTAGCGACCCTTTAAATCCTGTCTTCCTGAACAGAGCTAGCAAAGCTAATCCACCAGCACGACGTAAACACAGCTAGCTAAGGTTAACATATCAGAGCAACTCCTTACTTAGCATGTGAGCTAACAGACAGAGCTAACCCACGGTCGATCACCAGCAGTCAAACCGAGTTACTAAGGGCTTAGTCAGCGGTTTCCTTTTTTGTGCAATGAGCCTTTAAACACACGAATCAGCACTTAAAAGTTTACTCCGAACATCGTAACGACAAAAGGGCTAACACTCTTCGTTAACGTTAAGGTTAGCAGGCGCCGACTGACCAACTAGACAAGTTACTGAAGCTCGCCGTTTCTTTTCCGCGGTCTGATCGGTTAGCCTGAGCGAACGTTTACGATTAGCTTCAGCTTTGTGCGGAAAGTCAGTTCGGAACAGGATAAAAGACACTGAAAGAAAAGATCGGGATCTTTGTATCCGAACTTTGATCTCAGAATTCGGAATTCAAAGTCGGAATCATAACGATCGGAATCCTGAGATCAAAGATGGAATCCTTGTCAGAAATCGGAGAAAAAGAGTTACAAAGTTTCCGACTTTTCTATTTTTCAGCATCTCTTTATTCTAACGGTCAAAGTTCGTACAGTCCAGAGGAAACGAACCCGAACAGGTTATCAAAGCTGACGACTAATTCGCCTAATTTACTTGGATTCGTCAGTTAGCTTCGGCGAGTTTTAACCAAAAGCTTCAGTCATTGACTAACAGACCAATCAGGCTAACCGAGCGAAACACCAGCTGGTGCGATGTTTTAACGTCGGAAGGCTGGAGCTCGTTCTGGTTAATGAGGCGAACGCTCTCCTCACCTGCTGACGTAGCTAACAGCAGGTGTAGCTGGACTCCCTCCGCTGATGTTTGGGTATCTTGCGCTGGCTCTGGACCGGTTCTGTTGTGTTTTCTCAGCCCAACATGAACTTCAGGACTTCTCTGAACTCTTTGTCGATTATCTTCAAGGAGGTTTTTAGATTCTCAAAGACACGTGGCGAGGATTTTGGCGGTTAAGACAATCAGTTGTAATTTTCAATAAAAGAGCGAACTTCACCCTGAGTTTGAATCTTGGTGTGGTTCACAGATCGGTGGAGGTGACAGGCTGAAAAGAATGAATGAGTTCATGATGGACGGATGAGGGGGTGAGTGAAAGGTAGCACCTCGCTGCACATACAAACAAACACGCAACGTCAAAGGGCCGACCCCGCCCCCTCATACCAACCAATCGGGACATTTCCACGATGTGTGTTTTCTGTTTGCGTCTCCGGTTGAATTTAGCTAATTTGTCCTTTTGTACATTTTTGTCTTTTTGTTTTTTATTCTAAATCAAAAAACCTCAAAACGAATCAAACCTCAGCGGCTCAGAACAGAACTGTACGGCCACGACGCTCAGGCGCCAGTCTGTCGAAACACGCCGATTCATGTCGAACAACCACGACTGGACCGACTGTCCGACCGACTGTCCGACTGACCGCCGCTGCCGCTGTGAACTGGCACTAACGATTTCCAAAACTACTACTACGACTACGGTGGAACATCGCAACACAGCGAGAGAGAAAGAGAGAGTTTCCCTCGTCCGACTTTTTACCGACATTTCACCTTTTTGGCTTCGTGGTTGACGAATTTTAAAGGCTGAGGCGGAGCTAAAACTGACGTATTTATGGTGAAAGTTTGAAGCTTAAAAATCACGGTTACCATGGTTACCATGGAGCTGTAAAAGAAACGATCGATCACTGATACGACCCGAAAAGACTTTTTGAATTTTTGAGTTAACATCGTATTTTCGGATTCCAGCGCCGACACTTGATTTGCTCTTACGCTAGCGTAACGTTAAATTGATCCTGTTTTAATATGAGGTCCCTTTATTTTATTTATTCGGCTCTGATTAAAACAACAAGTTCTTTAAAGTCGTCTTTCCTATTTCTACGAAGTTTTTTCCCTCCATCTTGGTTTCTGGGAAACGGCGTGTTCTTATCGGACAGACGTCGGCGGGGCAGGAAGTAACTCTGTCGCCTGTTTTCAGATTTCACACGTGTGCTTGTCGATCCTGAAGGTGAAGGTTTTAGTGTTCGGACAGTCGGTCCGTGCGCTTGTTTAGTTTGTTGGCGAACATTCGGATTTTTACGATTTTCCTTCAGTCACTTTTCTGCGTTAACGCCGCAGATGAACTGAAATATCGTTTTTACTACATTCAGTCTTTGGAACTTAAGTTCATTTCTTCTGCCGCCTCTTAACGTAACTGTGCGTCGTTTGTTAGCGCCTCATTTGTTCAGAAAATCGTGAAAATAAAACGTCAGAAATCACCGATTTAAAGAAATCGATCGCTGCTGTAACGAAAACATGAGTTCGGAGTTTGAGATCGTTCGTATTTTCAGAAACTCTCTCTTTCTGTTTCTCCACTTTTAAACCTTCGTTCGCTCAGTCTGTACATGTGTGTGAGTGTGTGTGTGTGTGTGTGTGTGTGTGTGTGAGTGTGCACGGCCATATGAATACTGGACTTCCATTGGAATGCACATGGACTGTTTTTAATGTATTTATTTGGAGCCCAGTTGTGTGTAAGTGTGTGTAGGTGTGTGTAAGTGTGTGTAGGTGTGTGTGTGTGTAGGTGTGTGTGTGTGTAGGTGTGTGTAGGTGTGTGTAAGTGTGTGTAGGTGTGTGTAGGTGTGTGTGTAAGTGTATGTAGGTGTGTGTGTGTGTGTGTGTAGGTGTGTGTGTGTGTGTGTGTGTGTGTGTGTAGGTGTGTGTTGGCGTGAGTCTGGGCGGCTCTGCGTCTCCGATAACTTGAGAAGAAGCCATGTATTAAAGTCACGTTGATGCTGCAGAACTGTTTTGAGGAACTGATGGTTTGTGTTGTGGACTAAGCGGCTCGCCGTCGGCCGGCTCGCCGTCGCCGTCGTGGGCCGGGCGGTGAAGCGGAGAGCGAGCAATAAGACGCCGTCTGAATCCCAAAGCTTTAGGTGGAGTGGTGTTTGTGGGGGTCTCTCTCTCTCTCTCTCTCTCTCTCTCTGTTTTCGTGTGTTTTGGCTGACGGATGATTTTTGTCGTGTTTTTTTCTTTGACATATAAAAACGTATAAAACTGTGAAGATTCATGTGTTCAGTTAAAGGGTGACTTTAGCGTAGGTTCTCTTCTTTTTTTGCATGTTAATCTAATTTGTTGAATTCTGGATGATTTCTCCTCCTCCTCCTCCTCCTCCTCTCACCTACATATAAATATATATATATATATAAATATGAACGTTTATATAATCTCGCTCTCAGGGTCTTTCACAAATCCATTATTATTATCAGAAACGCTTCTTCTTCCTGTTGGATCTCCTCCTCCTCCTCCTCCTCGTCTTTTTGAAGCTCCGGTCCGGACTGTCAATCACTACATTCAGCACTTGACTGTGAACTCGGCGTCACCCTGCAGATGAACTCGTGTGTTTGACGACTTCTTCTTTTTTATTCCTGTTTCCTGTCCGAGTTTGACCCTGGGTTCAGCTCTCTGTCCGGGTCAGAGGTCAAAGGGAACAGGGTCAGAGAGGAACACAGATGCTGGACCTCAGTCAGAAAGCATTAACACAGGCTCGCTCGCCCTCTCCCTCTCTCTCTCTCTCTCTCTCTCTCCTGCTGTTGGTAAATCATGACAGTGTTTCAGAGTCCGGACATGTAAACTGTTCTGTATTCAACCCAATAAGAGAAAGCAATAAAGATTATATCAAGGAAAGGTGTGTGAATCCAACCCGTCTGTGTCTCTTTATTTACTGAAACCACATCCGGGTCGTCCAATGAACCCTCAACCAGAACGCCGCTCTGTAGCCACAGATGATGCTCAGAACAGCACCTAACTTCATCAACATCCACAGTGGGTCTGAAAGTCGACACTCTCCTGTTTAACTGACCGGTTTCTGTCCTGTGAGAAAATTAAATCAACTTCAGAACTTCTTCCTCCTCTAATGTGACCTTTGACCTTTGACCTGAACAACCCGATAGAAAAACAAACAGAAACTTTCAGGTGAAGTAAA